AAAATATATAATTTTTTAATTGTTATTTTTTGTGTTGTTGCTGTTGTTTTTATTTTATTTTTTTGCAGTTAATTACACATTAATTTATAATCATTTCAGTTTATATGTTTTTTTTCGTCTGATCATTTTGGTAAATGTGGTCGGGTCATAGGATTAAACATTTGCAGTTAATTTTTTTGTTTCATTATATTTTTTCGTGTTATTTTTATTACTTTTCTGTTAATTTTTTTTGAATTAGTTTTTTATTTTAAGTAATTTCATTACATTAATGACAAGTGTGTGGATGTTAATTTTTCATTCAATTTTATTTGATGTTTTTTTTTATAATTTTTTGCAAGTTAACAATTTTTATTTAACTAAATGTGTTTCGTTTTTGCTGATGTAGTTATTTGTGTAAATTGTTCAATTTAGAACATTATTTATTCAACAGTTAAATATTAAAAAAAAAAAATTGTTTTAAATAAAAAAAGAGTTTGTTTTTTTTTTCTTGAAACTAATTATTATTTAAATTGGCTTTCATACTTGGAAATGTCAAATACGCCGAATTAATAATTAAAATGCTTTTTTTTAATTCTAAATTTGTAGGAAATTGTAAATCTACAGTATATGTGAAAATTTAAAAAATAATATGCAAAAGGCAATTGAATTTTCTTTTATGAATTTAAATTTTTTAACCCAAATCCCATTTAAAATTGTATTAGTTCCATAACTAGTTATATAAAGCTTGATTATAATTTTGGTATTGAGACTAATGATTTTCTCTCTAAATTGTCAAGTTCGGAACTGGTTTTGTGGAAGTGTTATGGATACGACACTCGTCATATGGAACTGTTCAGGAACCAGTTTGATCCTTAATGGTTTTCGTTAGTATTTGTCTCCCTAAGAACTAGTTCTAAGGAAACATTAACACATTCATTAGAACAGATCTGGAACTAGATCTTTTCTCAGCGTTTTTTGTTTGAAATTGTTAAGATTAGGACCAGGCATGGCGGTAATGATTACATAAAGTAATTCATTACACGCTCAATTACAATTACAAGTAATTGTAATCTGTAATTGTGCAATAACCAATTACAATTACTTGTAATTGCAATTGAAGGTTTTCCATTTAAAATTACTTGTAATGTGTAATTGACCAATTACAATTTCTTGTAATTGTAATTAAAGTTTTGCAAATTGCAATTACATGCAATTGTAATTCATGTTTACCAATTACAATATCTTGTAATTGTAATTTACATGTAATTATAAGGAACAAAATTTAGAATTACAATTGAATTTTAATTGTAAATACTTTAATTACAAGTAATTCTAATTTGCCAAACTTCAACTACAATTTCAAATAATTGCAATTGGTAGAACTTCAATTACTATTAAAAGTAATTGTAATTGGTAAAGCTTCAATTACGATTACTTCAAATGTAATTGTAATCTAAGCTTCCCAAGCCTGATTAGGACCAATTTTGAGAAAGATCTTTTTTGAAATATTTTTGAAAAATTCTTGAATCTAGACGGGTTCTCTTTGGAAAATATTTTTTAAAAATTTTGAAAGATACATTTTTTTTAAATTTTTGAAACAATATACACAGTCGTTATTTTTATTTCTTTATAAATCTATTAAAACACAATTTCAAATTATATTTTAACTTAATTTAACGAGCAGGGTGACAATGACCATACGTCCGTTATAGTGCAAACAGACAGCAGCCTCTGCAGGGAATCGAACCCGCAATATTCAGACTGATATACTAATAAACTAGTGTGTTTTTAGGCGTTGTAGTGAAATAACTTCTGTGGCAGTATTATTATAAACATTTCGTTATATTGGTTACACAACATGGTAAATTTAAATAAACATTTTATCAATTTTACTCTTTAATTATTTAAGCAATTTACTACCAACATTTATATATTATTTATTTATTTTTTTGTTTAATTACTTCATTATTTATGTATAAGTTAATTTAAATTAAAAGAAAATCAATAGTATATTTACAAAACTGTATTTATATTTATATAATATTGTTTTTATTTTTTTCTTTTTAATAAACTTTTGTTTAACTAATTTTAATAATTTAGGTGGTACAACTTTATACTTGATTTATTTTTTATATGAAATTCAGTAGAATAATTTGGAAATTTTTTTTATAATACTTATTAAGGCAAACAAACATGTTTCCTAGCAAATATTAAAAACAAAATCCAATTAACCCACTGAATTATTTTTAGTTTTCATTATTGGTGCGCTTAAAAATGTGATGAAATTTTTTAGAATTTTCTATAATTTATTTCTGCTGTTTTTTTTTTTTCTATTATTAAAATTTACAATTAGTAAAGACTAGTTTACTTTTATAAAAATTTTATTTTTTCTGGGAAATAATATTTTTATTAAATATTTACATTTTTATTTTATTATATTTGTGTTATATTAACTTTTTGTTATTTTATTTTAGTTACTTCTTAATATTTTATAATCTTAATATCCAATAAAAAAAATTATTTACATTACTTAATATTAAATTATATTTTCACGTATTCTTTGGTATGTTTAAATTTAATTTTATTTTTATGGGAATAAAAAAAAATTATAAATTTGTTTAAAAAAATAAAAAATACAAAAACAAAAACCAAGAATAAAAATATATAATAGAAATAATATTTTTAATATATAAAAAAATACTGTGTACTTAAAATTGAATACCATAGTAACCGGATTAAATTTCTAATTAAAATGGCAAAAATAATTTAAAAGGAAAAAAACATAAATAAAAATTGCTTTCTTTTTTCTCTCTTCAGATTTTTGGGTGGAAAATAATATTGTTCGAATATGATGAGGGGGTATTGTTGATGACAACAACAATGACATTTATGTGTTTATGGAAGAGAAAAAATAATTTGTCAGACTTAAAAAGTCAGTGAGTGTGTTGCCAATTTAAATTTAAGTAAGTGGTGTCAATGTTTTATAAATTAATTCTAGATTTATAATAACTCTGCGAAATGCAAAATGTTTTTTGCAATTTTATTATTATTATTTATATATTTTTTTGTAATTCATATACGAAGAGGTCTTTTAACTTTAATCTTTTTCTGATATTCTTTGAAAAAGATAAAAATTCAAATTTTATCCACTTGAAATTTTGTTTATGTCGAACTTTAACGCTATATTTTAAAACATTTTATAAAGGAGACCTTATAGGGGGCTAATTCAATTATGGCCGATCTTCCTGTCACTATCTATTCTGAATACACGAAATTTACTTTATATCGACTGGTGCATAATCAACAGATTAATGACTGCTTAAATTGACATCCGGAACTAAGTTCCCAACACAATCGCTTCGCACCGAAACGAATTACAGTTCAAAGAACAATGATCAAGGATTGTCAACTCAGCTACACCGACTTTACACGTGTAGCTTCTACAACAACAACAACTTGTATGGAGAATAGGTGGAAGTATGGCCCGATATTGCCTATGGGCTATGGTCACGTGAGGCCGTATCATTATAAAATTCATCAGGATCATCAAGGCTAGTATAGAACTTGGTTTTGCAGCTTTTTGTCGATATACGAGTATATTAAACATAATTATGAGCTTAAGAGCCCTATTCTGAAGTAATAGTCTCTGGTACAATAGAAGATCATGTGTCTAATTTCATTGTCTTCAAAATTGCGACCTGTAGTTTGATTACAAGTTTTACAAGCCCTATTCGGGGGATCAGTTGTATGGGGGCTTGGTGAAATAATTGAGCAATCCTAACCATTTTTCATCCCTGGGACAATAGAAGATCATGTACCAAATTTCATTGACTTATCTTCAAAAATGTGACCTGTAGTTTGCTTACAAGGTTTTCACGGACGGACATAGCTAAATCGACTCAGAAAAAGATTCTAAGCCGATTGGTATACTTTAAGGTGGGTATATGAACAATATTATTGTGCGTTACAAACATCAGCACAAACCCAATATACCCTCCCCATTAAAGTGGTGTAGGGTTTAACAAACCTTAACAATAGTTTGCCCTTTAGTCTATTTGTTCGGGTTTTATCATTGGCACCCGAAAGCACATGTATGGTGATCAGGTTATATTGCCCATTTTCAAAACCAAACAAATCTTGTCAAGAGTTTATCCCTTAGACAAATAGGCATACAGTGAGATAAAAATGGTTCTGAAAAAAATATTATATAAACAAACGGACAGACGGACAGACAGGCACATACAAGTTTTTATTTCGGTTCTAACGACAGACAGATAAGCAGACAGAGATATATAAATGGAAGTTCTAAAAAATATTATATAAACAGACAGACACATAAATATTGATAAAAAAAGGAAGTATAATTTAGTACACGGAAGTTCAGAAAGTGAATATCAAAGCAATGAATTTTTCATAAATTCTGCCTAACATATTTTAAATTAAAATTAAATTTAATATTGAAGAGAAATAAATAAAACATAAAAAAACTATAATAAAAAAATTATAAATTTAATAATAAAAAACTTAAAAAGGCGATAAGAATTGTTTTCCAAAAACTAAAGATTTTGTTTCACTTATTTTCAATAATTACAATAACTACTCGCTAAATTTAAGGGATTAATAATAAACACTCTTTTTTTCATTTAAATATTTTTTTCGATTTTTCTTTTCAAATGTTATTTTACAATATATAAAAATTAAGTTTTTTTAGGATTTTTTTATATAGATAATTTTTTACAAAAATAAATCTGTGTATTCTCTTTTTAAATTTCCTCTTAAAGAAAGAGTTCAAAGAAAGACATTCTCATAAAACAGAAGGAAAACAATTTGACAACAACCTTTAAAGTTGTTTTTCTTTTTAAATAAATATCCTTTCTGTTCATCTAATAACAGAGTTAAAGAACTATAAAATTAATATTTATCAATTAACACAAAGGTCTATTTATGTATGTTTATAACCATAAACTAAATAAAGAGGAGAATGTAAACGTAATTGTGTGTTGAAGAAAATGACGACTTACCCTAAACCCCAAAATTGACGTCTCTTTTGACATAAACTGCTGAACAGTGATGTGGCGACAAATGCATACAATATTAGTTGCAAATGTTTTAATGTGTATGTATGCAGGGCAGAAGATGATGCAGCATTACTGCGTGATTTAGAACTGGCAACAACTTCAGATTCTTCGGGTGGTATATCCATGCTATTGCTGGCCACGATAAACTGAAATATGTCACTGACCTGTGGATGAAAAGAAAATATTGAAAAACAAGCAAGAATAAATAATGTGTGTAAGAAAATGCAAATTTATCTTGTTTAAATGTTAATACCATAAAATAAATAAGGAAATATGTAACTTTTTTTGCTACCAAGTAAATTTCTTTTATACTTTTTACATACGAAGCAAGTCATTCTTAAGGTTTATGCAGAAAAGTTTATGTTTTGCAATAAGTCTTTCTATAATTATATGATTATTATGATAAAAATAACATTTGCAACAGTCAATAAACGGAAAATTAAAATTTATTGACAAATCTCTTCCCCTAATTTTTTAAAATTTTATATTAAAAAATTCCTTTGAATTTTTTATTCTTTTTTTACTTCATACATATCATTCTTATAGTTTAACATTAAATATAAACGGAATTTTTACATTTATATTTTGTTGCTGTATTATTGTTTGTAAAAATATTTCCTTTCAGCAGTTATAAAAATAAATAAATTTAAATAACAAACAACAGTACACATACCTCATTCCAACCATAACGATTTTTTGCCTGTACAATGGCTTCATAATATGCTCCGGGTACAAGATTCTTTATTGTGTATGACATAATGTGTGTCAGAGGTTCCGAGGCTGGACGATGTTCGGGTGTAAGTATAAAATCATGCCATCTACCTGGATGTTGGAATGTATCATTCATCTAGAAATATTCATAAAAAACACACACATATAGTAATATATACAAAAAAATATTACAGTTTTCCTTAAAAAAGTAACAGATACTTTATCTCTAAAAAAAAAAAAATACAAAAATATAGGATTATTTATAATGATGCTTAAGCAAATAAACAGACTTTTAGAGAATTGTGGCTGATTGAGAAAGAAAATGCTGTACTATATTTGCATGCTATTTAATTTCTGTAGGTGATTCTTCATCATGAAACTGTAAGTATCACTACATATATTCAAAAAAGTCGAACTCAGACTTTAATTACAATTTGAAAATACTAAAAACTATATTGAATAATAATGACGATAGGCAGTCGCTATGAAACGATCCTTTCGGGTTTTTGGGGCCTTAAAGTTTTTAATGAATCTGTAATCTCTAGTTCAAAAACATAGTGGAGCCCTATAAAGCCTAGTAATGTTTTAGTTCAGTTTTAGTTCAGTTCTAGTTCAGTTCTAGTTTAGTTCTAGTTTAGTTCTAGTTTAGTTCTAGTTTAGTTCTAGTTTAGTTCTAGTTTAGTTCTAGTTTAGTTCTAGTTTAGTTCTAGTTCAGTTCTAGTTCAGTTCTAGTTCAGTTCTAGTTCAGTTCTAGTTCAGTTCTAGTTCAGTTCTAGTTCAGTTCTAGTTCAGTTATAGTTCAGTTCTAGTTCAGTTTTAGTTCAGTTCTAGTTTAGTTCTAGTTTAGTTCTAGTTTAGTTCTAGTTTAGTTCTAGTTTAGTTCTAGTTCTAGTTCAGTTCTAGTTCAGTTCTAGTTCAGTTCTAGTTCAGTTCTAGTTCAGTTATAGTTCAGTTCTAGTTCAGTTATAGTTCTGTTCTGGTTCTGTTCTAGTTCTGTTCTAGTTCTTTTCTAGTTCTGTTCTAGTTCTGTTCTAGTTCTGTTCTAGTTCTGTTCTAGTTCAGTTCTAGTTCAGTTCTAGTTCAGTTCTAGTTCAGTTCTAGTTCAGTTCTAGTTCAGTTCTAGTTCAGTTCTAGTTCAGTTCTAGTTCAGTTCTAGTTCAGTTCTAGTTCAGTTCTAGTTCAGTTCTAGTTCAGTTCTAGTTCAGTTCTAGTTCAGTTCTAGTTCAGTTCTAGTTCAGTTCTAGTTCAGTTCTAGTTCAGTTCTAGTTCAGTTCTAGTTCAGTTCTAGTTCAGTTCTAGTTCAGTTCTAGTTCAGTTCTAGTTCAGTTCTAGTTCAGTTCTAGTTCAGTTCTAGTTCAGTTCTAGTTCAGTTCTAGTTCAGTTCTAGTTCAGTTCTAGTTCAGTTCTAGTTCAGTTCTAGTTCAGTTCTAGTTCAGTTTCTAGTTCAGTTCTAGTTCAGTTCTAGTTCAGTTCTAGTTCAGTTCTAGTTCAGTTCTAGTTCAGTTCTAGTTCAGTTCTAGTTCAGTTCTAGTTCAGTTCTAGTTCAGTTCTAGTTCAGTTCTAGTTCAGTTCTAGTTCAGTTCTAGTTCAGTTCTAGTTCAGTTCTAGTTCAGTTCTAGTTCAGTTCTAGTTCAGTTCTAGTTCAGTTCTAGTTCAGTTCTAGTTCAGTTCTAGTTCAGTTCTAGTTCAGTTCTAGTTCAGTTCTAGTTCAGTTCTAGTTCAGTTCTAGTTCAGTTCTAGTTCAGTTCTAGTTCAGTTCTAGTTCAGTTCTAGTTCAGTTCTAGTTCAGTTCTAGTTCAGTTCTAGTTCAGTTCTAGTTCAGTTCTAGTTCAGTTCTAGTTCAGTTCTAGTTCAGTTCAGTTCTAGTTCAGTTCTAGTTCAGTTCTAGTTCAGTTCTAGTTCAGTTCTAGTTCAGTTCTAGTTCAGTTCTAGTTCAGTTCTAGTTCAGTTCTAGTTCAGTTCTAGTTCAGTTCTAGTTCAGTTCTAGTTCAGTTCTAGTTCAGTTCTAGTTCAGTTCTAGTTCAGTTCTAGTTCAGTTCTAGTTCAGTTCTAGTTCAGTTCTAGTTCAGTTCTAGTTCAGTTCTAGTTCAGTTCTAGTTCAGTTCTAGTTCAGTTCTAGTTCAGTTCTAGTTCAGTTTCTAGTTCAGTTCTAGTTCAGTTCTAGTTCAGTTCTAGTTCAGTTCTAGTTCAGTTCTAGTTCAGTTCTAGTTCAGTTCTAGTTCAGTTCTAGTTCAGTTCTAGTTCAGTTCTAGTTCAGTTCTAGTTCAGTTCTAGTTCAGTTCTAGTTCAGTTCTAGTTCAGTTCTAGTTCAGTTCTAGTTCTAGTTCAGTTCTAGTTAGGTCCTACTTTAGTTATACTATTTTATATAATAACAGTAAATAATTCTATGTTTATATTTGCGAAATATGAATATAATTTCTAATGATTTTTAATTATCCAGTAAAACATCTATTTATATATTTACAATATTTGAATTTCTATAAAAAGTCGCCATAATTATTGAACTCATTTTAATTAATAGACCATAATTCCCTTATCGGTTTGTGATTGTAATTTAATTAAACGATTAAGTTTTATTTTTTTATTTACTCTAGTACTTCTCCTTTCTACTCATCCTACCAACTAAAAACATGTTTTACAACAATTTGTAAAACATCATTAACATTTTACAAATGTTTTTTCCTTAAAACCAATAGAGGAACAAACACGAACACAAACAACAAATAAATAATGCAAACCGGCCATTAGCATTAAATCATAGATGGAATACCAATTAAAAAGTAAATGGTGAATTAAACAAATACAAATATTACAAATCAAATTACACAGTAAAAGGATCATTAAAAATGGAATAAAAATAAATAATATGCAGAGAGAAAAAAACAAATAAAACCATAACAAAAAAATACAAATCAGATGTAAAACTAATTGATTGATATCATCAGTAATGTAATTAATAGATACAAATATTGTGTAACAAACTATTGGGGCAAAAACATTTACACACATTTTATAGAGAAACCACCTAGTTTTTTATCTATGGGTGTAAAAGAAGAAAATTTATTAAAATATTATAGCTGTTTAATATAAAAATAATTTCTTTGATTGATACGACTTTCATTGAGAGTTTGTATTAAAACAAACTGCAAATAATAATGACAAATACTTGTCAGAAATACTTATGTTGTAGTTTGTTTTCATATTTTCTTTTCCTTTTCCTTTAGATAGTTTTGTGTTTTTTTGTACAAACATAATTATTTATTTTGAAGTGTCTATGCAATTATAAAAATTAATGAAGTAAAAAATGCTACAAAGTTGAATAAGAGTTTTGTGTTTAAGTAGTTTTTCTTTTTATTACAATGACTTTGAGCTCGAATCAAATGCATTTAAATGCAAATTCTAATTTAATAGGTACTTTGAAAAGTATAAAAACAAATCATTGAATTTTGTTTTAGCTTTTTAAAGCTGCTATAAATATTTAAATTGTGGTTTGAAAGTATAACTGAAGAGCGGTAGTAACTTGATAAGACAACAGATTAATTTAACTGGTTTTTATACTAAAAATAATAATTTCATAATTTTCTATATAATTAAGACTCATTGCTTGTTACTTTTTGGACTCTTTTCTACATATGGGCAATTCGATAAGATTGTATGTGACATTCGCAGGCCTTCGGAGTGGTATAGATTTTGTAAAATTAGGAGTCATTCTGTTCCATTTAAAGAATACTATAATAAGAATCATACCATTCGGAACCTTGTTTTCCAAAATATGAATTAAAATATGGCGATATCATACGTGACAAAAAACGGAAGTGTTTTTAAAGTACATGTAAATATTTACAAAAATCTGCGAATTCTGTAGGTGTATCTTTTTTGTTTTAATTACTATTAAATAGACCGATTTCAAAAATTTTCAACAGTCTTTGTCTTTGATGCTACAAAAGATCATATACCAAATTTTGTTGAATTATCTTCAAAAATGCAAAAGTTATAAGGGTTTTATTTTTTCAGTCGTGGTTTACCTTTTCATGAAAATGTTTAGACTTTATAGGCAGCTAAACAGCTGGACCGATTTTTCTGAGTGGTTTCCTGTATGTCTGTAAGGAACTATAGGTTACTTTTTACTTCAAAATTTCAAGTATAAGATAAGTATTAAAAGTCGCTTATCCTAGAAACTGCAAGAGCCTAGCTTCAGTGGGCGTGGCACCACCCATATAAAGAAAATCTTAAATTAGTATATCTGAGAAAATATAACAGCTAGAGTCCTAATTTTTTTCGGAGGAACTTTAGTATGAACTTCAATGTTTAGGACCAAAAAATGGGCGTAATAGCAATACAGGGTGTGGAACCTCCCATACGAATTAAATATTAAAATTCGTTTATTTGGGAAAGTATTGGAGATAGAATCAAAAAATTTTGCACAAAGACCTATAACATTCATGTGAATATTTATGAGAAAATGGACGGACTTTCATTAGGAGATCCATACGGATTGAATATAAAAATTCGTATATCTGAGAGACTATTAGAGCTAAAATTTTAAAATTTTGCTCGAACTACTTTGGCATATATGGGAACATTTGGATAATAAATTGGCGGACTTGATTTAGGGGCGTGGTACCTCCAATATAAATTAAAAATTCGTTTATCTAGGTAACTATTGGTGCTAGAATCCTCAAATTTTGTACGAAGAACTTTAACATCCATTTGAACATTGGGGAGAAAAATGGGCGGAATTAGGACTTAACATATTAAGTATAAAAAATCGTGTATCTGGGAAACTATTACAGCAATAATCCTCAATACTTTGACATATATGTGAACATTTGGGTACCGAATTGACACCAAAGAGTTTATAATTTTTCAATAACATCCGTTGTCAAAGTATATACATGCGTACGATAACACTATGACAACTTTGCGTTGTCAACATTGCAACAATTCGTTGTCGAAATCTAAATTGTATACACATCCGTTGTGTAAATGTTAACAAACGTGGTAAGCTCGCTATTGCCAATGGATTGTTTATTGAAAAAATATAAACAGTTTGGTGTCAATTTGGTACCAGGCGTGTACATTTCTTTTTCCCTCTGTGTAAAAGTATATTTAAAATATATTTATAAATTTCCTGATTTTTTTTTTTTCAACAGAAAAAAACAACACAGCTGCAATTGCAACTATGTTTGTATCAGGCAAAAATAAAAAAATTTACCAAATAAATAAAAATAGATTAAAAAAGTACAAATAATTTATAGAAAAGAAAATATGAAAACGAACAGGATTTAGTTGTGTAGCAATAAATGTTTATGGCAAATGTACAACAAAATAAAATTTTATTAATACTCTGCTACAACCTGACCATACAGTAATAGTAATAACATTGTATGAAAAAAACACTAACATTCATAAAAAATCGAAGGTTTTTTATTTTAGTGATTTATTAAATTTATTACAATTTATTTATACCTATATTTATGTATATCGATGGAATTTTTGTTTTTACTTACCAAAACACGTCTATAGAGTAAACGTACTTCCTCCAATGGTGGATAACTATCAATTTTCCATGTAAGATTATAACTGTCCGATGAACGACCCCATTTGGGTGAATAGAATTCTGCGGGGCCAGGACGACCAGATAATTCCATATATTTGCGTGAACGACCCAATGTGTTATCAGCGACACAGCTGTAAAGATTATAAATAGTTATACATATAGCTTTATTTTATTAATCTGTTTTCTATAGTTTTTTTTAGCTTAAAATTTTTAATTGTTATTTTGTTTGTTAGTTATTTTTAGAGTTTTGAAAGAAATAATAACAATTAAGAAAGTATATGACACCCTACACCAATTAAACTTGTGGCAATCCTCACAAAATACGATGGCTAGATTAAAGTTGTACAGAGACTAGGTGATATAATGGAACGATATTAATCAACCCATGACCATACTAGCAGTAATCCCAAGTGGTGGGTAAATTCGCTAGTCCATAAATATCGCCTCAAACTGGAGGTTTATGTATAAGTAGGAGAAATATCTCTTAGATTCTTCGTATATAAGTACATAGCATAAAATTTAACATTTATTTTAGTTTGTCTCTGTTATTGTTTGTGTAATTTTAAATGTATGTATGAGTCTTAGTTATTTTCATTTATTTTTATTACGCTCATATGTAATAAACTTTATTGGTAATAGTGTTGTTTTTTGTTAGTAATTTTTTTTTACTTTTTAACTCATAATATACCGTTATATTCGTTAGTTCTCTTGTAAAGGTTTGTTTACATAATCATACATTCACATATAAATTTTATCTCTCATACTCCAACTTTTACTCCCACTCCTACTATCTCCCTCCCTTTTACGATCTCAATATTTACTTGTAGTTACTGTTGTATTTTTTTAAATTTTTTTTTATCAGTAAAGGGTCATTTTATTTTTATAGTTTAATTTTTTTCTCTTTTATTTTTGAAATTTCATTTCCCCCTTTTGTACATGGTGTAAATAATAAAATGTTACAAAATTAAAGGATTTTTTTCTATAGAGATTACATTGATGTATATAACAGATAAATGTGTGATAAATTATTTTCCATTTATATTTATTCTAACAAAAAAATATAGTTTTTTGTTGTTTAGTGGACATTTATGAAAATAAAAAAAAAAAAAAATAGAAAAATATAAACAAAAAAATTTATTTTTATTTTATTCAAATTTATCAAATATTTTATTTGAAAATAAAAGTTTTAGTGACTACGAAAAATTTAATAAAGACTTTGTTCAAAAATCGTTTATTGATGGATAAATAAATATTATACAAATATGAGAACTAGTTTATTATTTTAGTTGTTATTAAATAGTGAAATTTTTTAAATAAAATACATATAATGGTTTTTGTCAGGCGTATAAAAAAAACAAGTACTAGCGCTAAAGTCGAATCGTATGTAACCTTCATCATAGTATATTTCTAGTAAAATAATTTTTTATTAAAAGAAAATAATTTTTTATATATTTTTTATTATTAAAAAGAGATATAATTTATTTATGTGTTAGATTTTTTAATATAATTAATATTTTTCAGGCTGTAGTTCGAGTGCCACTTGAGAATTTGGAAATAAATTTTTTATCTTGAATTAAAAAATAACTTTTTTGATAGATATAACACTCTCGTATAAGCTTTCTTTTGAAAAAAAATAAAAAAAAATTATTTAGTACATTCGGGTACGACAAAAGTGTAATTTTAGAAGTATAAGCTTCATATTGAGTATATAAATTCACAAGAAGAGTTAAAACAACGTCACCAAAAAGGGGCGGATATATCATGTCCACGCCCACTTCTTATGTTAGTGCTAAATTTGGTATTATTGAGTAAACTTAAAAGCAATAACTAAAAAGCAGAGAAACTGAATCAACCCTTAAAAAGATCAGAATGCCTTAAATAAGTATGAAGGACACGCCTACTTTTTATATAGAAAATTTACGCATGTAAGTGAAAAAACAATTTTCGCTATTATTTTTTCAAATTACACTGTGTGCCTCTCAAAAACACTCATTATGCGATATAATGCTTTTCATAGACCTAGATGAGTAGATCATTTTACCATTTTTAGAATCTTCAATATACCCTAAAAATCGAAAGATATTGGACAAAACGCCTTTTTTTGTGACTTGACAAACTAAAAAAATTATGTCTCAAAATTTTCTTAAACGATTTAATATTTTTCAACTGTTTTGAAAAGAGTTTTCTATGTACTTTTCAAAAAGAACAGACACTTTTATATTTTTTACGGAAATGTGTAAAATATTTAGATCTTAATACAAATTTTTATATTTTTTTCAATTTTTTTTTACAATTCAAGATCATTTTTGACACACACTTTATTTGAAAATATATTTTTTAAATACTTTTTTATTTTATTTTTTTTTGGACGTGGCAATGATAATATCGCCCACATTTTTTGTAATGTCAAGTATGTCAAGTATGTGCATTAGACTTAAGATGATAATATCGCCCACATTTTTTGTAGGGTTATATCTAAGTTTATGTCAAGTATGTGCATTAGACTTAAGATAATATCTTTAAAATTGAAAAGATATTTAATATATAAACGCTAAAAATGTCCCTTTTAGACGATTGTCGAAAACGGTCGCAAAAGTTATCTTTTGAAATAAAGATATTAACGAATGCACCTTATTAGTAAGACGACTACATCGGACCAATTTCAAAAGATGCGTTCCATAAAAATTAAGTTTTTGTTTACTGCAAGTATTTGGGGAATTTCGTTAAAAATATATGTCTTCCGATTGGATGAAATTTGGACCAAGGTACTATCAAATGGACCCTTTTTATTTATTATTTTTTTTTTTTGCGTTTTCTGGTTCCCAGAGAAAATGTAAATAAAATGGAGAGCGGCAACGGTTGCGGATTTTGTAGCCATTTTATTGTTTTTTGTTTTTGTATTTCATAGTTTATTTATTCACCACATGGTTTTTGTTCATTAAAAGTATGAATGGAATGGCAACTCTAAATGTAAATGAGAGAAAATTCGTAAACAAAATAAAATAAATTTTAATTTGGTGCGGATTTCTTCAACGATTTAAGTTGTCAAAACTCAATATAAAAAAATATCCGTCTCCGCAGCTGCAATATTGTATTTCTACTCTTAGATTGGAAAAATGTGGCACTGTGCAGTAATGAAATAGCTATCTAAACTCCTTTGGTAAATTTTTGCTAGGACCAACAGGTGAATTTTTTTTTTAACCCTGTATGACCAAAATGTCCAACTTTGAAAATTGCTGTCTGGCCTACTTTCCAATAGTACTAACTTTGGTGCAAATTTCATTCAAATCGATTTTTTGAATTGGGTCACATGACACGAAATTGCCCATATGTATGTAAATTATGTTTATAAATGGTTAGTTAGATATGAGTAAAATCTCTAGAAACCCATATTTTTACCATATTTTTGCTGTTTCTTGCATTTAATCTCATTTCACCGCTAAAGATAGTTTCTTTCTAAAACCCTTAAAAAACTCAAAAATATATCGTAATAACTTGTAATGTCATAGACTTTATTAAAACTTCTGTAATTATTCAAGTGTCACACAAGAAAAAAAAAACTCATAAAATAAATTATTACTTTAGTCCATACAAGTGTCACACAGGAAAATAAAACAAATTATTATTTAAGTCAATTCAAATAACAACCTTTAGATTTGATCTGAACTACACATCCATACATTCATATATAGATACATGTAGAATAGTTCAATAACCAGACATTTGGCTACTTCTTTTTATTTTATTGTAACAACTTTGATGATCTGTCAGAAAAAAACTTTTGCTTAATTTGTTTAGCTGTTTTTTCCCTTCTTCTTCTTTTAACAATATTAAATAAATAAACTAAGCTTGCCAAATAGACAGACGAAACAAATTTTTGTAGAATAAAACTACTCAAACAGATACTCACTCACACATACTTAATTTCCTTTTAATTTCAAACTTAACTGATGGACAAGTCAAAACATGTCAATATAGATAAACAAATATGAACAGACATGTATTGTAAACAATCATACACATATACAGATATATTAGGGTATACTTTCATGTAGGTTCAATATCTATGAAATAAAAATTTTAATAAATTAAAATTTTGAAAAATTTATAACCAATATTAGACCCTAGGCTATCATTACTTGGTAGACAGTAGTGTTCTAATAACGAAGTCCCGTTTTCTAGGGTCATTTTGGTGCAAAAATCTTCTGCAGCTAATTGGTTTTCTAAAACCTTTACATAAACAAATTCTCATGCATTTTTATACAAACCATAAAAAAACACATCGAAATATTGGTCATATATCTATTCTGGGTCTTTATTAAATTCTAAGACGATCTAGCCATGTCTGTCCATTTGTCTGTCTGTTGAAAGCACGATAGAGTCCGAACGAAATGAGCTAGAGGGTTGAAATTCCACAAATATTCTCTATAGATAAGATTTGTTTGGTATTGAAAATGGGCAATATCGGTCCACGTTTTCGGATAGCCCCCGAAAAACAGCTTTAACGGGCATAACTGTATTAAAAGTACGAGTATAGCGAAGAAATTCGACATAAATAAGTTTCATATGATCAAAAATCTTCCTACTAAATTTTATACGGATCGGTCCATAATTGACCCTACCCCCATATAAGGTCCCCTTCAAAAAATGACTTTAACGCTCATTACTGGCTTAAAAATGCGATGAAATTGGGCACACATAAGTTTCATGCGAGTCAAAATTTTATGTGGATCGGTAAATAATAGACCCTATCACCCATATAAGATCCCCTTCAGAAAATTACTTTAACTCTAATTACATAAGTTCCATGCGAGCCAAAACCTCTCTATCAAATTTTCTGTGGATCGGTCCATAATTGACCCTACACCCTATATAAGGTCCCCTTCAAAAACGACCTTAACGCTCATTTCTTTCTTAAAAATACGAGTAATACAATGAAATTTGACATGAGTAAGTCTCTTACGAGCAAAATCCTCTCTAGAAAATTTAATGGGGATCGATCTATAATTGACCCTACCCCTATATAAGGTCCCCTCCATATAAATACTTTAACGCTTATTACTGGCTTACAAGTACATAAGAAATTTTCTTACGAGCCAAAAGCTAAGAAACTTCTATAGGAACGTAAATCTTCCTACCGGAAAGTGTCGGGAACTGACATTCGATGTAAACATGTTTTATATGAACCTAAATCGGTCTAAAAAAATTATGAAAAATTTTATGAAAACTATCAATAATTTAACCTACCTCTGATATAAGGTCCTATCAGTAAATTTAATGAGTAATATCACCCTGATGTTTATAGGAGAGCATTCGGTTTGATGGTGGGTATATTAGATTCGGCATAGCCGAATATAGCACTTTTTCAACGGACTCTTTTAAATTTTGTGCGGTATGGAAAGGGCCGATTTAAAATTTTCAAAAATTTTAAAAAATTTTTAACCCTAATATAGTTTTCTCCCAAGTTCATACAACGAGTTAAAAAAGGGAGATAGAAGCAAAAAATTAAAAAATCTAACAACATTTCGACAGATATTTTTGTACATAGTATTTGCTAAAAATTCTGCTAATCCCCTTTAAGCATTAAAACAACCGAAACACTAACTATAACTGCAATAACAGACAACTATAGAAGAGAAAGGTCCAAAAACTAGGGGGAAAATATAAAACAACTGTGTGAAAAAACTAAGCTTTAGTAGTAGGAAAAAGGAGTAAAGAGGTGACTATGAAAATCTTTTCCTTTTTGTATGTGGGTGGGTAAATATAATTGACTACACTTAGCAAAAAATAGTAGTTAATAAAAAACTTTTTAAATTACTAAAATTCTTTAATATTTTAAAAAATATATAAATAGTTTTCTAATAAAACTACTCCTGCACAGAGCAATGCCAGAAAATATAAAAAAAATATCTTTAAAATAACCACTTTTTTCTTTCAGTGCATTTCTCCCACATGTACAGACTGACAACATTTGGCTACTTCCGTTGTTTTAATATGTTTTCGACATATTGACATTGATGTTACAAATAACATGGCTTCAAGTTTATAAAGAAAATGTTTGCAAAAAATTATATTTTTCCACAAAAAAAAAAAATAAAACTTTAACTTAACATGAGTTTTGGCAAAACACAAAAAAACAAACAAAAAAATAAAGGTAAAAAATTTATTTATTTTTTCCAGCTAAGACAGTTGAGAATTAAACGAACGATAACCCTTAAAAAGCATAAACTCATATTATCTAATAGTCAAAAAGATGCATGGGTGACAAATACCCAGAAATCCCTATAAACCAAACTGCTTCCTAAGTTGAAAGGAAGGAATGACTAGTAAGCAAAACAAAAAAAATAAAATGAAAATGAAAAAAGTCTATTAAGTTTGTCACAGCTTCCTAAAAGATTGACATGTACAAAAAAAAAACAGTTATCAAAGTTATTTCTTATGTATAGATATAAGTAACGTATGTTAAGGATATTATATAAGTATAGATGACTTAGTTCTGCCTTAGTTAAGTTTATTTTTAAATTTGTTAAAAAAAAAAACAAACTTGTTTACTTATACATAATATCTACTAACCATGTACATTTAAGTATTATAAGAATTTTTGATATAACTTACCTGTAGTTGCCAAAATCTTCTTGTTGTATGTGTCTTATGGTTAAGGTATGACGATTTCCTCTTGATGACATTATACGTCTATCGGTTGTTTGTATTAAAAATGAATTTTGATACCAGGATACCTGTGCGTGTATAATGACAAATGAGAAATAAGAATAAGATGAAAAGGCATGAACAAATATTAAATTAAGAGATTTGTATGTATATTTATTAAGTCAGTAAGTAAGTTATGAATTAAATATGAATCAGAAAAATGAAATTAGTTTTTTTGGGACTCTTTTTGGTTGGATATTATGTATGTATTAGTAACTACTTAAGTGGGATGGGTATATGAAAATTTAAGATTTTGAGTAAACTTAAGCTTATATAGGAAAAGCAAGATTATTTAGTAGAACTTACAAAATTCGAAGATTTTCTTAGTTGATTAGAAATTTTATTAAAGGCTGGGTAACAAATATGGAAACTTTAAGATATATTTATTTTTCTAGCATCTCAAATATTTATAGAACATATAAGTATTTTGAATTTTAGTCGGACTTTATTAAGTGATTATTTGTCATTTCATGTCCATATTAAAATAACTTTTAAGAATTTTGAAAATTTTCCCTCTACAGTTCCACATCACCATTCTTTGTATATATTAGTATCACTTGTGAGATATATTGAGGTTGGTAGCAATAAAAACAGGACACTGGTTGCTAGGCTGACATGCAAGTCGGTGTGAGCTCCCCTTCAATGAACACTGTCGCAAAATCAGGGAAAAGATAGAAATGGTCTTCCATTTTCTGTGTGAATTTTCGTGTCAGTCACTTCATATCCAATGTTGGTGAGATATCTGGGTCTAAACTTAAAAACATCTTAAGATTTCTCATGGCTACAGGGTGGATCTATTTCTGACGTCTGACGAGTGGTGAGGTCCTATAAAAAAGGAGTCCTTGGACTCTACTTGATTGTCCACGTGCAGTGAACTACCACAATAACCAACCAAGCATCACTAAAGATTACCTACATAATCCGACAAAATTAGAAAAAAGTCGAAACCACAAGACTGAATTTCTAAAGGATTGAGGCAAGCTGAATCTATCACATCTGGGATTGGAGATATCGTGCCCTGAAATTTGAAAAAAAATGCGATTTTCGGCCCTTTTTAGATGTTATAACAGCGCCAAGACAACTTTATTTATAACATTATATATGACATCTAAAAATCAATTCTATCAACTGAAAAAAAAAGGCCTAACATCTGATATAACTTTTTTCTTCTTCGAGATATCTTCACTTAAATATGGGAGTTTTGTAATAACTCTTTAACCCAATTAATTCTTCTTAGATTGAGTCAGATTTAAGTTAATAAACTTTTTCAGTGGTGTATTTGGTATTCTTAATGGACAAATATCGGTTCACAATTTCACACAAACCTTATAGAAGTGTTTCTCAGAAAAACAATTCAAATAACAACACTGGGTTAAAAATGTCAAAAGTTAAAAAGCTAAATCATCCCCATTTTATTATCATTAGCATTTAAAATCATTATTTTAACATGGTGATGACATTGGAGGCAAGTACTTACCACGCTCGCTCGCAAATCACTACTTATATAAGTACTTACAAATAAGAAGTTAAAAAGTTGTTTTGTTTTAAAAACAAAAAAATTGCTCACACAGAATACGAACCTGGGCTTTTGGTTCGTTGTTCGCTGTCTTATTCACAACACCACTGCTTAGTTATTTTATTCTGCGTCTAATAATGGGTTTCACACAGAAAAGCTATTTTCTTTTTGTGTGTGTAAAAAACAGTTGATAGCACGCGATTCAATAAAATGTGCAAATAAAACGGGAAGACTCAAAATAAAGCACTTACGTATCTGATTATATGTAAGTCATTATAAAAGTACTTAAAAGTAATGCAGACAGTAAGTAATAGTCATTGAAAAGTAAGTGGTTATGTAAGTGCAAGCCATTACCGAGTTTTCTGAGTGTTTACTAGTGTTATATGGAAAAACTGGACGTTAAATCTTTTTATTATCTAAAAAAGACATAAGCACCTCATCACTCATTTTCAAATATTTTAACAGCACTATGTAGGGTACAAATCCAAGTTGTGGAAATTTATAAAAATTAACAAAAACAAATATAAGCAACAATTATTATTATTTTAACTAATTATTTTCTGTAGTTTAAATGTGTTGAGGTTTTTAGTTTTATTGGTTGTGGATACCAAAGTAAATTCAACCACTATTTATTTATTATGTGGAGGCATATTTATATATTTCTGTTTTTAATTTGTTTTACAAAATAAAGACCACAAGGCATCCAAAGCCGACAATTCAATTAATATTGGTTTAGAAATATTAGAGAAAAAAACCTTAATAAGTTTGCAATAAATATCAAAGGGGCTATACTGGGAAAAAGGAGGTAAGTATATTTCTATTTCGCAAATTATTTTTATTTAATTTATTTGAATTTAATCAGCGTTAATTTTTCATTTTCACTTTTTGTAATAAACATTTGTATGTATAATTATCTTATAATATTATTTTCTTTTTCATATTAACAAATTATCAACATTTCATATCTCATGCTTCAAAAACACGACGCCCTTATTTCAATATAATTTAAATTACAAATCTGATAGCGAAAGTAGAATGTCGAAAATGTTACAAATGGAGAAATTTTTTTAACCTACATTAGGTGTATAAATTCCATTATAGCATTGGTTATATATGTACAAAAATATTTACATCATTTTAGCTATACGGATTAGAGTTTTAATATTGCAAAATCTAAAAATTTTTAATAAAGAAATTTAAAAATCTTAATATTTTATAACTTTTTTTAGTTGCTGCAGTTGATAGTGCTGAACTCTATAAAATAGCGTACTATGCAGCAAAATCGAAAATCATTTTTATCTTTGGCAATTAATTAAAATGTCATTAACGAAAAAATATCACAAAATAACTGCAACTGCAGTTAATAAAACAAATAATAAATTAAAACAAATAATATTGTATATTTGTTGTAGATAATAAACAGCAAAAATATTATTTATGGTAAAATATTGTAAATAAATATGAGATATACATATGTACATAACATAATATTAAAAAAAGGCAACAATAAATAAAATACAAATTACTTGACCTAATTTGAAATTGAAAAAAAAAATGTGTGCAAATATAAAATAAACTGAAAGGAAATTTTCAGTTTCTGTCTGAGTTGAATAAATAAATAAATATGCAGTGAACTGTTAAGGAAAGAGAAATTATACAGAAAAAATGAAATGAGATATAAATACAAACCCAGCAAAAACTCGGTTAGGACTTATACAACAACTTACTTCTCAGTGGCTACTACATACCGTCTACATTACTTTTAAGTATTCTTATAATAAATTACATTAATCAGAAAGGTACTTTATTTTGAGTTGATAATACAATAACAATCAAAAATATCAATAACAACTGTTGTCATAATATGTACGGATAGTTGTCAAACCAACAACAACATAATACACCAAGTTATCAAATTAACAAACAATAATAATGTGTTACCAAAATGACAACGCTATATTGTCAAACAGAACGTTGCGTTGTCGAAATCACAACTATTCGTAGTCGAAAATCACGACGCTGCTTTCCTGAAATGACACATAGCGTAATCGAAATGACAACAATGCGTTGTTTCAATGACAATGATGCGTTGTCAAAATTTCAACGGTGATTGTCAAAATGATAACTCGGTGTTATTTGAATTTTATAAACATCCGTGTCTAAATGTTTACAAACGTGGTAAGCTCACTTTTAACAACGGATTGTATCAATTTCGGTACTTTTCAACTGGTTTTTTCCCTTTTTAAGCCTTTTTTAACTACTTACTTTTTAATCTAAGAGTTTGCTGGGAATGTATGTAGTATTTTTAAATGGTAAATAGACAGAGTGCCTAGTATTTAAAGGAACAAAATTGGAGGCATTGATGGGGATTGTTGATGACAATTACTTTACATTATAAGTAGTTGCAAAAAAAAGTTTTACAAAATAAATTAATTGAAGTTTTAGCAATTTCAATTACTTGTAATTATAAAAGAAGTGTTACCAATTACACACGTATATGAAATTTCAATTGCAATTTCCTTAATTGTAATTGATTAAATTTAGTAATTAAAATTGTAATTGGTTATTGATCAATTATAAAAAATTTTTATTGCAATTGCATTTAATTACAATTGAATTTAATTTTACACTAGTGTTGCCCGGTCCTCTTTACAGGCCATGGAATGTGGACCATCTATTTAAGGATCTATATAACCCTCAAATTTAAAAATGATCGGTTCTACGGTTTTAGTGTTAATGACTAAAATTTAATACTGCGACGACATCTAACGGATAGTTTTAAAACATACATATTTGAAAAATTTGTTCCATTCTGTGCAGTAGTTCGTAGGTTTACCGATTACGAACAAACATTACTCTTTTATAACTAACTATTTCGCCTTAATTGTTCTTTAAAATATTAGTTTCCCCATTATTTCATAAATTAAAGTACAAGATTACAAAAAGAAGTATAATTTTAGTTTAATGAAAAAAATACACAATACATTTTCTTTGCAACGAAAGAAAAAGAAACATAAAATTACGAATTATTATAATAATAATTCTTTAGAAATATTATTTGAAATATTACAAAAGAGTAAAGTCTATGGAGTAAAGGAACCAAGATATATATGTAAGTTTAATGTATTAAATAATACTAAGAAATTAGGGTAAGTTTGTGGAAATTGAAAAAAATGTAAATAAAATGTATAATAGGAAATGAAGTTCCTTTTTTAAATAAAAGTAATAATTTTCACCATTTCAAATTGCTAGAATAATTTCCTAAAATGTGAATATGCCCCTCTGGACATAATGAAGAACATTTTATAGTTATCACCGAAATCACATAAAAAAGTGGTTTTATTCCCGAGGTTAACCTCTAATATGTATTACAATATCGACAGTATGCGATTTTAGTTTTCGATGTTATATACCGTCGGAAAGGTTAATACCAAAGTGTTTATAATTTTTTTCAATAACATCCGTTGTCAAAGTATGTATGGCTAGTTGTCAAATCAGCAAAATATTATAAGTAATACATGACGTTGTCAAATCATAAACGCAGATTCAACCTATGAAAATTTTAAAATTTTTATAAAATTTTTTTTTATTTATGTGAGAACGATGTGTTGTTAAACAGAACGTTTCGTTGTCGAAATCATAACGATGCATTGCCGAAATGACACAAAGCGTAATCGAAATGTAAGCAATGAGTTGTTGCAATGACAACGATGTGTTGTCAAAATTACAACGCTGGTTATTAAAATTAAAACTGAATGTTAATAAAATTTTATACACATTCGTTACTAAATGTTAAAAAACCTGGTAGCTCACTTTTGATAACGGATTGTATCAATTTCGGTACTTTCTAACGGTTTTTTTCTCTCATTGTATCTATCTAAACTATTTGGAACAAATTTTGTTATAAACAATAGGTAATAAATTACAAAGATGAAAAGAAACACTTGATATGAAATCCTCCGTATACATACTTGTCTTTAATTGGAGCCACCTAATGTCTAATATACATACAAATTAGTTTTCCATATTCCTTTTCTCAAATACTCACCGTTGCAATGGGATCAGCATAAACAATGCAGACAAGTTTTGCCTCAAAACCTTCACCAGAGTGAATCCAAGATTTTTCCACTTGTATATCAGGAGGATCTACAAAATAAAGAAAAAAAAAAACACAGACACAAAAAAATTACAATAAATTTTAAATTTGCTTCAGACTTCATGAAGTATGTATTTTTTAAGGCATAGCGACTAACAAAAGAATAAAAATAAAGAAATTATGTTTAAAAATATAATAAATGCAATGTTTTTTTTAAGAATAAAAATGCAATGAGTAAATTATTTCCTATTTATTTACAAAAACTTTAAGCTTAATTTTCTACATATTTATAAGGCAAAAAGTAGTCAAGTAGAAAATGTTATAATAACAATAACCATAATGATATTTTAAATAAAAAATCATTTATTTTAAGTAAAAGGCAATATCATTTTGTGAAATAAATGCACAGAGGGAAAAATAAATATACACGCCTGGTACCAAATAGACACCAAATTTTTGACAACGCAACGTTGTCAACATTGCAAATTTTATACACATCCGTTGTCAAAAAGTTAACTAACGTGGTAAGCTCACTATTGACAATGGATTGTGAGCTTACCACGTTTGTTAACTTTTAGACAACGGATGTGTATAAAATTTAGATTGCGACAACGAATTGTTGCAATGTTGACAACGTTGCGTTGTCAACATTACATAGAGTTGTAGTACGTAAGTACATATATACTTGACAACGGATGTTATTAAGATATTAAAAAACCAGGCGTGTATATATTTTTTTCCTCTGTGTACATATAATTTTATAATGAATATTTTCAATATCTTTATATAGACTAACAAGTATATTTTGTGACTTAGAAGATAATCACTTCAACTTTTTAAATGCCTTATATTTTTAATACTATTTATGTTTGCAACTTAGAGTTTTTCTGCTAAAATGTAGGAACAATTTTTATTGCCCTTTATTGTGGTTTCTTATTTCTCTACAATTGTTTCTATTGCCAAAATATTTTTAGGGTTTTTTTCACTCTTTATTACAAATCTACATTTTTCGTTTTTGTTCCTTTTACAATTTGCTCATAAACACTACAAACAACAATTGTGCAAATTATTTTTTCTCTGTAATATCTAACTTTAAAATTGTCAAATTTTTTTTATAATATTTTTTGTTCTACTTACATAAAACATCCAAGCGTATATCGACACTAACTGGTTCACCAACACCATTATCTGCGGTACATTGATAAACGCCAGCCTGTTGACGTTCCACTTTTTCCAATGTTAAAATTGGACCATCGCCAATACGAGCCGTTGATTTGCCAGCACCACTCTATTAAATAAAATAATAAAAAAAAAACGTTTGTAGATTAAGAACAATATTAAATAATAATTAAAATATAGTGAATAGGCATATTGAGTAAATTAAGAAAAACAAAAACTGATTTACTGTAATTATGATTCTTTAGTAAAAAATCTTAACTTTAAAAAGAAATCCTTTTAAACTGCTCATTAAATGAAAGTAAACCTAAAATTTAGTATTAACCTTTTCTTTGTCCGAAAATATCCCTGCACCCTTTACTTATACGGTTTGAATGTTTTTAATGCAAACTAATACTCTACACTTATGATACTAAATCACTGTCATCTATAAACTGCTTTTAAAATGTCAATAGAGTCAATATGTCACAGATGATGGCAAAAAGGAGACTTCAGTCATACTCATGCTCAAACACTAACACTAATACTTAGTCATTTTGGTAAATATAGGAAGTAACATACATAGTTGTAAAGGCATAACAAGGACGAGAGCATACGGAAAAGTTCATTTGATTTATGAGCGTAATATAATTTGATTATTTTAAGATCGACACGAAGGACCAGTTTTTTGAATTTTTGATAAGTGTGAAGAACTAAATTTTCATTAAATTTAATAATTAGTTTAAAGAATTCATTCTGTAATGATTGAATCTCTTATATTTCTTATTTCTCCAATTTCCAAATGTCCATAAAATAGTCCATATTTGACCCCAGCCTCCATATAAGGCCATCTTTAGAATATGACTTAACGTTCATATTGGGCTCAAAAATAAAAGTATAGTATTAAAATCTGTCTAACATATTTTATAAGGATCCATAATTGATCCTTGAGAAAGTAACTTAATTTTCAATAAATCGTTTTAAAATCGAGTATTTTACAGAAATTCAACATAAATCAGTCACTCTCTAGAGTTCGATCCATAGACATATAGCCCCAAATTAACATAAAAGGCCCTATTACAAAAATTGATTCCAAATCAAAATCTAGATGGGCAAAATTATTGGAGTTGGTGTCTTAAAATTTCGGTATAGTTTTGATAAAAAAATGATTTTCTGATGGAGGGTCAATTATAAGCCGGTCCTAACAAAATTTGGTAGAGGGATTTTTGACATTCAAGTTAATTATACCGAATTTCATTGAAATACACGTGTTTAGAAGGGAATTAACAACGTTAAAGCATTTTCAGAGATGGGCAAATTTATTGGAGTTGGTGTCTTAAAATTTCGGTATATTTTTGATAAAAAAATGATTTTCTGATGGAGGCTATATTGGGATATAGGGTCAATTATAAGCCGGTCCTAACAAAATTTGGTAGAGGGATTTTTGACATTCAAGTTAATTATACCGAATTTCATTGAAATACACGTGTTTAGAAGGGAATTAACGACGTTAAAGCATTTTCAGAGATGGGCAAAATTATTGGAGTTGGTGTCTTAAAATTTCGGTATAGTTTTGATAAAAAAATGATTTTCTGATGGAGGCTATATTGGGATATAGGGTCAATTCTAAGCCGGTCCTAACAAAATTTGGTAGAGGGATTTTTGACATTCAAGTTAATTATACCGAATTTCATTGAAATACACGTGTTTAGAAGGGAATTAACGACGTTCAAGCATTTTCAGAGGGGGACTTTGCAAGGGATCTAGGGTTAAATAACGGCCGCTCATTACGAAATTTTGCAGTATCATTTATGCTTGTATAAAACGTAGTTGTGACTATTTTTGTAGGGATATTAGTATATTTGACATAATTAGAAGCTCCTAATCCCAATTTAGGATGTCCGGTTATATGGAGGCTAAGTGAAATAATGAACCGATACCAACGAACATCAATAGGTTTCGTCCTTGGATCAAAATTAATGTATGTTCCAAATTTCATCCAATTATCTTCAAAATTGTGACCTATAGTTTGAGTACAAGGTTTACATAGACAGATAGACGAACAGACCGACGGACATGGCTTAATCGACTTAGAAAATGATTTTGAGCTCATTGTTATACTTAAATGTGGGTATAGGACCATTAATTCTATGCGTTACGAACATCAGATCAATTATATACACCCACTAAAGTGGTGTGTATATAATTGAGCCCCAAGTTTAAGGACTAAAATAGGAAAAAGATAAGTCCAATGAATATAAAATATATATTTAATAAAAGCTCAATCTAATGATTATATATCCCTTAAATTATGGATATCTATATGATAAAATAATTAAGATATATGTATGTAATTTAGCACTAATATATTAAACTTTTTTAAACCAATTCTTATTATCCAACAATTGATGAATTTCTCGCGCTTCTCTCATAAAAATAAAATATCCATTTGAAAAATCCTTTTGTATTGGAGGAGAACAATTAGTTAGCTATCGAAAAAAATCGTTTTTTATCCAAATTCAGTCTATCTTTTGTTAGAGAACCACAGCGTGATGCTCATATTAATATCGATATACATACTATGAAAATGTTTCAAAAACGAGAAAACGTATCTTTGTATTGAACAGAAAAATATTCAATACTACAATTGTAAAAATTCCTATCAGTCTGCCTCCGTTATTCGCAACGATTGTTTAAGTTGATTTTCGAAAATATCTATGGTTTTGGTTGCCATATACCAAAAGACAACAATGAATGAAAATTGGAAAAAAATCTTTATCATATTAAGCCAAGGTGAAAAAATGAGGGAGTTCTTTTTATTACAAGAACAGGAAATACATCATGTAGATGATGACAATAACTTTACAAATGAATATGGATAGCAGAAGCACACAAAAAAGGAAACCAAACCAAAAAATGTTCTTATAAAAAAAGGTGAAATGCCACATACTGTTAAATGCACACACTTGCAAGCTCACACTCATAACAGTTATTTGAAGGTATTTATTTGTAAAAAAAAAACCTTACAAAAAATATATACAAACACTCCCTAGATACACATATATGCTTACAGAAAGGAGTAAAAATATTTAAAACAGCAACAAAAAAATCAAGAAAAGACAAACATTTCCTGGCAATAGTAGTACTGATATTATAATGTTTTTTTTTCTCTCTTGTAAAAGCTCCCCTTGAGTTGGTTGCATGTTGTCGTTCTCGTCCCTTAAAAAGTTTATGTGTGGCAGGCACCTTTAAAAGTCAGGCAGGCAACAACATAAAAACTAAAGATATAACTACAACTTGTTGTTGTTGTTTTTGGTTTTCCTTTTAGGTTGCATGTTTTTGGCTTGCGTTGCTATTCCTGTTGTTGTTTGTTGCATTTGTAGCCTTTGACATGACTAAAGACCCGCCTTGTTTGTGCCAACCTGGCTGCTTGACTGCCTGCCAAATTGTAATTAATGCGAATGACTTGGTTGCAATGTCATGTTAAAACTGCAAACAATATATGACGACTATGCAAAAGTAAATGTAAATTTTTTTACTTGTTCCTTTAATTTCTTTCGATTTTTATTCCTTTACTCTATTTTGTTTGCTTCATTTACAAAATATAAAAAAAAAGAGAAAACATTTGCTTGCTTCTTCCTTTGCCATGCTTATCAAATGAAGCAAACTGACCTAGTATTGGAATTTTTTTGTTAATCTTGTTGCTGTAATCCTTAAATGAAATTCATTGCCATTATAGTTAAAAGTTGATATGAAGATATTATTTTTGTGAAAGACATGTAGGATTTCTTTTTGTTTTAATTTTATTTCAGAGATTTCTGAGCTGAGTGGCAAAGACATATATTTAAGAATGTAATTTTTATCAATATTATCAGTATTTTAAAACCTGTTATCGGCGTTGTAAAGTCCAAGACCTGTTTAAGTATCCTTAAAGCATTCTTAGTGTTCATTTGAGGACAAGACAAGACCAGATAAATGGCAGTAATATTATATATAATCAATTCTAAATTCTATGTATTATATCATACATTAATTACTCCCGATAGACCCATTTGCAAAATAAAAATATGTAATCACCTCCCAAGAGTTAGTTGTAAATCAGTCCTATATAGCTCTTTACGGATTGATCCTATCCAGATTATACCCAGTTTTATAATTTACTACCTATACCCAGTGTGCTTTGCTACCCTAAGAGGAATATGTATAAATAAATACCAGATTTATTATATGTTACATATGAAAGATGTCAAGCAAATTATTTCTATCTTTCTATGAAAAATTTGAATAATATAAGAGTTTCCAAGATGCACGAAATTTTGTATTTAATTCATATATGTTGTGCCAAGCCACCCATTGAAAGTCCGCCCGTTATGCTCTAAATGTTCACATGAATTTCAAAGTTCTCCATGTAAAATTTGAAGATTCTAGCTCTAATAGTTTCTCAGATATACGATTTTTTCTATTTGATTCATGTGGGGGCTTCAAGACCCCCAGATGAAAGTCCGCTTTTTTTCCTAAAAAAAATGTTCAGATGAATATTTAAGTTCTTCGTGCGAAATTTGAAGAATTTAGTTCCATTCGTTTTCCAGATAAACAAATTTTTGTCTTTAATTAATATGGGAGGTGCCGCTCCCCTCATGGGTAGTCCGCCAATTTATTACCCAAAATGTTTCGATTGATGTTATTGTTTTTCGTGCAAAATTTGAAGATTCTAACTGCAATAGTTTCCAAGATAAACGTATTTTTGTACTTAATTTATATGGGAGGTGCCACGCCCCTTAATGATAGTCCGCCTACTTTTTGTCCTAAATAATTATATTGACACTAAAGTTGCTCCGACAAAATTTGAGGACTCTAACTGTTATATTATCTAAAATATACGGATTTAATATTTTCTTAATATAGGCGTGGCTCCTCGCCCACTTGGAATTTCAAAATAAAAAGTAGCCTATTCAAGAAAATCGGTTCAGCCGTTTAGGAGTCTATAACGTTCAAACATACAAACAAACACACATTCATTTTTATACCCTCCACCACCACCAGTGGTGATAGAGGGTATATATAAGTTTGTCATTCCGTGTGTAACACCAAAAAATATTCATCTGAGACCCAACAAAGTATATATATTCTGAG